AGAAGCGATTTTTTTCCGCAAATGATAGGACTGAAATTTCGCGCGCCAGGCACGGCGAAATGACAAGTGATATAAATGCTCCTATGAATATCGCTCTTTTTATGATGTTATGTTTATTGTATAAATTTACAATATCACCTGTCATTTCGCCGTGCCTGAGCGCGCGAAATTTCAGTCCTATCATTTGTGGAAAAAAATTGCTTCTAATTTAAAAACTATTATAGCCTCGACACTTTTGTATTAGGATTTTTGTCTGGAAATGTTCTGAGGAATCTGTCATTAAGAGGACCTCCGGTGGTTTTAGTACACCCTGTACATACTCATCAAAGCCACACTACTCCACATACAACTTTTCTCTCATTGGTCTGCCCAGAGCAATGTCGGATGCGCAGAAAGGATCGACGCAAAACGAAACAAATGACGGAGTGGATCAAAGAGTTAGTCTATGGTTTCACCAAACGTCGCTTAACTTTAATCTTAGTTTAACTCACGTTTGTTTCTTTCTAGAGTAATCGTTGGAAAGAGACAAAGAACGAATTAAACTGAGCTTAAAGTTAAGCGCATAAGGTTCGGTTTCACCAACGTCGCTTAACTTCAAGCTTAGCTTCATTCACTCTTTGTCTCTTTCTAAGGGGAAACAGTTAGACAGAGACGAAGAGTGAATTAGGCTACAGTCAAAATTATGTGACGTTGGCGCAACCGGATGGCCTTAGACGAGCAAAATTTGCGCCCAAGAATTGTTGTCTGGGTGGCTAGGTTCCTGGTCCCTCGCTGCAGTTGTCTTCGTTCGATAACGTCAGAAGCGAGAAATAACACGCTGAAAACTCTTGCGTGTGATTTTCTACAAGTGAAAAGCCATTTGGATGGAAAAAAAAACACTTCAGATCGCTTCGGCACAACAAACAGCCGTAAAATGAATGTGATACGAAGCCTAATCACGCGCCTGCGCACAACTCGCATGACTAACATAAGCCTCGCTATCACATTCGTTTTACGACTGTCTATTAACTACCGAAAAGGATAATTATCGGAATATTTTATACGATTGCGCCGAAGCGATCTGAAGTGTTTGTTTCATCCAATATCTTTTTACTTGAAAAAAAAAACACGCGGAACTCTCAGCGCGTCATTTCTCGCTTCTGACGTTATTTATTAAACAGCAAGGACAACTACAGCAGGGACCAGGCGCCTTAATTCGAGGATTAATTTAGAGAACTGAGGAAATCATGTGATTTTCTAAGATTTCGACGAACGGGACTCGTAGACGCCGCGCTCGCCCAAGATCGCGACCGCCCAGGAAATACGTACGACACCTCTGTCGAAAACGCACTGTCGGACCGAATCGAAGTGGATCGCGAACGGAACCAGGTGGCTCAGGTCGTGGCTCGCGCGATCACCGTCATCATGCGAGCACATTTTACACACGTCGTGAACTGCGCACGGCTAACAATAAGTGCCAGTACGTCACGACTGCCGTCAGGCTCCAAAAGTAACCAGTCCTCTCCCCCTACCCGTTGTCGTTTGGTGGACTGATGTTTCGCCTCGCTCTCTAAACGATGAAAAGCGAGATTACGACGGCGCGGCGCCGAGACGGACGGCGTAATATCGTGACAAAAACGTGACACTTGAAGTACAATAACTCGCACGTCACGTCACGACGCGATTGTTCGCGCATGACACAGCGTCAGTAGCGAAGATAACGAGACAAAGTAATCGCTAATGTTGCGGAATATCTCTCTATCCCGGGGCCGAAGGTTCACGGCACTCGGGCTTCTATATGCTACTAGACTATTTTATGTCTTGTTGAATCGGTGTGTCACTGGCACACACGCATACTACTTCATTTACCTAACAAAACATGGCGGAACTCTTGCCTCACTTTTCAGCTTGAAGATAGCAGTCTAGCAGTAGATGAATGTCCCCTATTATGAGATACCCCTGGGGAAAATTTACTTTAAATGAAATTAAAGTTTTTAAACGTAAGTCCCAGTCTACAATAGATGATTTAAGCCCTGAACCTTAAGGAATTGACCAATCACGGTGAGGTATGAGTAGAATACGCGACTGTGATAATTTCTTAAGGTTTTAATCTCTATTCCCAGATAGCACACATAGTTCTATGAATATTCTTCTGGAGTGCAAATATTCTTAATTTCTAAAGATATTCCAATCGAATATTCTATAAATATATATAGATTGTTACAATTAGAAATCGTATATTCATAACAAAGGAGAACGTTTTTAGAATATTCGTCGAGAATGTCTTTAAAATATTCGAAATAATTTTTTAATATTCATCGAGTTTGTGTATTGCACATTGTTTATTGTGTAATACACTTATCTTATGCAAAAGGCAGTGAAACCTGTGATCATACCATGTATAACCGACACGCTATATTCGATAGATTATTCTATTCACGTTCGAAAAAGATTGATAGTAGAGCCAGTCGAATATTCCACACAGTTGAAAAATTTGTGTTAATTCAACACAATATGGATATGTTAAATGATCACACTAATACTCTGTTAATATTTTAACACAAAATAAATGCAAATCTCAAAATAATTTGAAATAAATTTTGTGTAAAATTGACACATGTCTCTAAGGATTAGTTCTTTGGGAACGTTAGTATAAAGAGCGGTGACATCGAAGGAACATATCAACTCATTTGTTCTCCAGACAATTGCGGACACTCTTGTAAGATTGTTACCTGAAGAGGACCAGTATTACTGACCGAAACGTAGTAATTTTAAATAAAGAGTGCCCGTAAGGTCGCTTCCACACTTATTTAAATTCTTGTTACTAATAATATAGAACATATGTATTGTGTAAGATTAAAAAATAAGTTGTGTGGTATTAATTCCTTTTCGGTATTTTAATAATGTTACATTTGAGGTCAATTAACACAAGAGCAATATATTAAATTGACACACGAATGTATTAAACATTTAACACAAAAATTTTTACCGGTATTTTTTTTAACAAGAAAACAAATTCTCCAACTGTGCACGAACATAAGATAAATATATAAGAATGACCTATGGAATATTCCAAATATTCTTGAAGAGTACTCTTAAAATATTCGTAGGAGTGTCTTGTGCTATCTGGGAATAGAGGATTTTTCTCTGTATAGAAGTCTATGCGCTCGACGCGCTGGGAGAACGGGTGGCTATCGGCACAGGTGCACAGGTGCGCGGAAGTGCGATAGGTGGACGTTTATTGCGGCCTTGGCCGAAAAGACGGGACCAAAGATGCAGATTTGCAGCGAGATAATGGCAATAAAAAACGATAGGACGGCGCAAAGATCGGCTCCGTTGTGAAGATCTCTCGAGTTTTCTGCCGTCGGTTCAATCAGCTTCCGATTACGCGTTATTTTTGCGGGCTCGGTAAGGAAAACTTGATTAACTCTTCCGAGATAAATCCGTGACCTCGGACTCATTCATCTTCGTCGACGCCCTTGACGATTTTGTTGTTTAATTGCGACGTATCGGGACGACCGATACGAGTTTATCGAGAGGGTAATTCTGGCGCGTCGAGTGTATCGCGTATCGCGAGTGCACATGCACCGAAAGCACCGCGGCCTTCCATGCTCCAAGAGAATTGTTTACGATGCGCGGAGTCATTACATCTCCTTTTTTTCCGCTTTTCGACTCGAGCACTGTAATCGAGACGGAATAAGCGGTTTGCAGGCGTAATGCAAGATAAAAAGGACACAAGGCGGAATCGTAAAACGCGCACAAACAGCAATTGCAAGTTACGTCGATTTAACAAGAACTTGCGCACCACGTAATCTCACGAGTTGATCAGGTTGCGTCTAAATTGCATCAATAAATCTCCCGTATTACGTAATTGTACGAGTTGATCGCGTGTATATGGAATGTTCGCAGCCACGGAGCGACTGTAATTACATGCTTGTATATGATTTAGAGCAAATAGGAAAACATTCAGTCAACTGTGTTCGCTGCGGATGTTTCCTCTCGCGGTGCTCCAATTTTCGCCTTTTTTTCGGCGACGGAGGAAAGCCATGCCTATAACACGCTCGCTACTTGGCACTTTCCAAATGGTGGAAAGTGCTGGAGAGTGGGCGATTACGAGCGGAAATCGCGCGGTCCGTCGAGAGATCCGACCGGCCGGGGATAATCGCCAAGTTCGCGACCCTGTCACCGTCCTCTCGAGTACACTCGATAAATCACACTCGAGCAAACCGGGGAAACCACGTGCGCGACGGCGTGGTTGCGTAACGGCCCGATGCACCCCTCGGTGCGGGCGCACCGACGCGACGCGTCCGCGTCGCACCGGGCGATTAATCATCGCTGATGATCCCGCGCCAAGATTCCACTCGCGAAGAATAGACACGCGTCTCTCGCCACTTTCCCTCGCGGGGACCGCGATTTCGCCTGTGATGGATCCAAGCCCCGGTCGCGACGAAAGTTGTTTTCAACTGCAGCAACAATTTTCATAGGTACAAAAAGTAACAAATGAATAGTTGTTACTGCGAAATCGCATATGTTTTGTATTTAGTCGATTTAACTAACAGAAACAGAATTTCTATCTCAATTGTCAGCGAATGTTAGGAAGAGCGTCTGTATAACGTTTGATCGTGACACGTAAACAGTTATATTCCTTACAAAGATTGTTCTAGCTACGTTATCGAAATTCATTTCTAACCAGTGTGAATGATTAATATTCAGTCATGAAAGCTAAACTTTTCAGAAAGTATTACAAGAACGTTGCTGCTATAAATGTTGTCGACTACGAACAATTTTCTATCAGACTATACGGATTGAGATTGAGATTAGATTGAAGCTTGACCAATCGGAGCAAAGTTTACTAATCTCAAGTTTAGTGAATTTACTCCAATTGATTAAATTTCAATCTAATTTCAATCTCAATCTTCAATCTCATCTCCGTAGTCTGATATAGACTTAACAGATATACAAAATAGTGATAAATTTTTGTTGCAACACCTAGAAATCCACCTGCGTTAGAAAGATACTTTCGTTTTAGCGAAATCAGTTCCACTTCGAGTGAGTCTCTCGAACTTTAATTTGGTTCACGTTTGCTTTTCGAGATTAATTTTACGTACAAACCAATTTAATTCCTTCGGCATTAGATTTGCGTATCGAACTTCTCTTCTTGAGTTCCGTGTAACTATCTCTAATTGCGAAATTCTCATTCTAATTGCGACACGAGTAGACAGTGAAGAATAGACGGAGTGAGGCGGGATAGTTTCGTGACATCACGTGATTGCGATTATAAGTAATTATCGCTTAGTCGCGATAAAATCACGAGAAGCCGCGCGATTAAGATCTGCGAACGTCATCTTTATCTAAATATATACGTATTTATGCGCCACTTAAGAAATACCTTACTGACACAAATGTGATACAAATTTCAAAGAATTTAAAGGACTCAGAGCCGTGACAGGGTGGCAGTGTCTAAATATTCTATCCTAAGTTTATTGCGAAAAAATATCACCTCGGCCAGGGTTTGAACCTGGATTCAAATTTATGTGCCTCGGTGGTCGAATTGGTTGAGACGCCCACCTAGCGAGAGGGAGGTCCGGGTTCAAACCCTGGCCGAGGTGATATTTTTTCGCAATAAACTTAGAATAGAATATTTAGACACTGCCACCCTGTCACGGCTCTGAGTCCTTTATAATTCTTTGAAATGTGTGTTTAACACATATGAGCCATACTAATTTATTTACAAATGTAATAGATTACCAGACGTCGTAACAAAACTTTATCTATTTTTTATCTGCTAGGAAATTGTTTGTACACGGAAAAATGTAGCTATTGTAGCCAAAAACTGCACGTGGTAATTAAATTTTAAAGTTGTAAAATATGGACAGCTAATATTAATTTTGCTACTGCGTCTGTCTATTGTCATATGTCTGTGACACGTAGTGTCACAAACTATAATAAACGCAAACTATAAACGTAAATACTTACGGCAATCTTTCTGTCCAGGCTCCAACTTTCACTAACATATAAATTTTGTTTCTGTTATTTAAATTGCTTAAGTGCAAAACGTATGCGATTTCGCTGTACCAGCTATTCGTTTCTGTATTTCAGTTATTTTGTCGCACTTGTGTACATACATACGAAAGGCGATAGAACGGCGTATATGTGGTAAGCGCGTGGGGTCATGGATCCTGAAGTTCAAGGCTTCGTTTTTGCCACGCGATAACGTTCTCCGCAGCTGCTGCACGTAGACAGACTCGCGTGTCGTTCAAGTGCAACTGTCCGAAGTTTACCTCGGACCGGTTAATCAGCGGAGAAATTAAAGTCAGGGCCAGATTAATATATTTAGCGTCAATCGCGGTGTTGGGTGGCCGGGTGGAATAAATTCTCTTTGACTGTAGCGCGACGTTCAAGCGCGCAGCCTCTTTAAAACCGGCCGTTTCAGGCTCCAAAGGCAGACGATCGCATTTTGGTCCACGTGCTGGCGCGGCGCGCCGAGCCGAGGTCGCGCGGCAATGAACATCAAGAGATTAACGAACGGTAACTTCGACTATTTGTTTCTGCTACCTTTCGAGACATTGTCGAGCTGGCTTTCAAACGCGCCTCGACCTGGTACACTTGATCAATCACTGGATAGATTGCACCCTTGCAAGGAACAATTCCATGCATCTTGGCAAGCTGTTTGGCCCTCGGGCGAGGGAACAGGCCACTGAAGTTTCGATTTCTTACCGCTGTGCACGCTGAAAGATTCTCTGCAGACTGTTCATCTATTATAGCTACACTTGCTACACGTGAGAGAAAAAAGAGAGGCAGGAAGTGGAATGAAATCATCTTCGAACAAAATGAACGAAGACCGGTCTTCGTTCGCCGCTATTTTGCAGGAAGAAGATGAGGAAGAATGACTTTATCTTCGGTGAAGCACACTTATCCAGTAACGCGTGTAATTTAGTTGCATGTGGGGACACGTTTATATAACTCTCGAGATAAAAATTTGTAGAACGCGTCCCATTTCCAGTTCATACCGTACATGCGTGATTTCTTTGTATAATACTTTTCCCCAAGTCCGGCGAAAGACTTTTGGTCCCTTTAATCAGATCAAATAAAGATCTGGGAGTTATTCAAAATTTCTCTTAAAAAAGTGTCAAACACTCGAGAAAATATCTTACTAACGCAGGTAGACTTCTAGGTGTTGCAATAAACATTTATCGCTATTTTTATTTTACTGCAGTTGCAAGATCACTTTTTTTCAATATAACAATCTATACAATCTTGGAATAACTATTGATCGAGTAATTACTGATAAAATAAAAAAGATCATTCCTAGCAGACTAAATTTAAGCCGCGTGACGTCGATTTCTCTCGATATTTAAAAGATCGCTCCGTGCTCTCTAAAAGTCAATCCGTGCATTATCATTGAATTATCCAGTGCTATACTTATAACTGTGAATCAATGAATATTCAGTGTCTTCATGATAATCGACTGGTTGACTTTTAGTGAGTGCATTATATGTCGTTCTCAGATTGCAACGCAGAACGGTATCGTATAGTCAATCTCTGAATTAAAATACGCAAATGTAGAAGATACTATTCAGATAAAATTTTAGTTCTAGATGAACTACCGCACAATCGCGAAAAGTCTCTCACGCGCGGATAAGATCTCGTCCATGCGCCGGGGGGTCCCATTGGTGCGGGTACACCTGCATCGGTGACGATAATTCGCATCTGTCCCCGTTCGCGACGTTTATGGAGGCTAAACAAATCTCACCGGGTCGACCAGGTCCGCCTGGCTCCAGGGGGGGTCAAATAAGCGAATTGCGTTCGAGCTCCGTGCCCCTAAGTAGGTCTACAACCGTGGAAGACCGTTATACGACTCGCGACCTTCGGCAAACAATTCGTCTGCGACCGTTTCGTCTTTGCGCAATGATCGTGTGCCTCATGGCACCGCCGACACCGGATCTCGCGACACACTGCACTCATCCAGCTTCCCGTGCGTCAGTGCGGAGCACAACGATCCGAAGACGCGATTATCGCGTTACGCCCCATTGACTCCCTTGAAAGCTATGATCGTGAAGACCGGCCTCGTCAATTTCGAGGGACCTGCGCGATGATAGATGAATCTCGGATGAGGATCGATGAATAACCGATCTTCATTTTTGTACGGCACTCGCTCATCCCATTATTATGCAAATCCAATACCTGCGACAATAATCGAAAGATGCCGTGCTTGAGGCAATATTGGACCGTCTTGATTTTGTGAGATTAAAATTTACTCTAGCTCCGTCGAGTCTCTAGAAGAAGCGATCGAAGTTCAACAATCGAAAGTTTCGGTTAATTCGCCAAGTGAATTCGTCAGGTTCTCTTCAAGCGGAGAAAATGGAACATCTCAATGGAACGTTTGAACCTTGGAAATACTTTTTATTTACTTTAATTCCATCGAGTCTCTAAAAGAGGCGATCAAAGTCTAGCTCGAAAGATTCGGTTAATTCATCTTTAGGTAAAGAAAATGAAGAATCTCATTTGAACCTTGAAAATACTTTTTATTTACCTTAATTTCGTCGAGTCTCTCGAAGAAGCGACCAAAGTCTAACGTTCGAAAGATTCTTTCGACTCTCGATCGAAAGATCTTCAGGTGAAGACAATGGAAAATCTCATTTTTACCTTGGAAATATTTTCTCCCTCTTTTCTGATAATTTTCCTTCATTCCTTTCTCTCGAAAGGGAACTATCGCCTAGAGAAGAAAGACGATGAAGGTGGCCTTCGCCTATCGCATATCATCAGCATCTAGATAGTACGTAGACGATCTATCATCCCACGCGAATTCCTGCTCTCGCCGGTATCCTTTTCCGGAAATACCGGTCGGCCAGTCGGTCGGTCAACCTTGAAATGTTTCGGGGATACGCGATGACTCTCCCGGTTCCTCCGTTTTGCCCCGATCCTGCAACCGGTCCTCCCACAGAACGAACCGGGCGAGTGGCCAGGTAATTTACGAGGTAAACCGGCGGTTGCCGACGCGGCCAAGGTGTCAAGGTAGGGAGTTCTCTCCCGGAGCGAAGTGAATGCCTTTCCCGGCCGGTTGGTCCCGGCGTCTCAGTACTCCTGGTGCTGCACCGACCGATGGGACTCGTCGTCTCCTCGCGCGCGGTCGCGATCAAGAAGGGTGAAGGTACGTTTGTTCGGCTGACGGTCAGCTAATCAGGCCAAGTTCAACGATCGCCAGGCTGATCGACCGACCTATCGCCCCGGGCGAAAGTCGAGCATTAATCCCGGGAACTCTCAAATAAATCCGACACTCGAATGCCACTCGTTTATCGTACATACCCTCGAATCTACAATAATTCATGAAACGCTTAATTCCCCGCTCCGACATCATAGCGTCAGCGAGTAAAAAAAGGACAAAATACGTGAGGTTTAGAATTCGGGCGATTAACGCTTTGCCGATCGTAAATCTGCAAGAAATATTCGAGTAATTTCGAAAATTGCTTCACGTCAATTAATCGCGTGAAAGTGACGTCATCTTTTCTACAGTGTGTGTTTGTGTGTGTGTGTGTGTGTGTGTGTGTGCAAAATGTACCAGATAATTCGATTGCATATCCTTCGACAGGAATGAACCCGGTGAAGTGGAATTGACCAATCGCTCGAGTTTATTCCAGGAACTGTGTGAGAAAATTAACTTGTACTTTAGCAGATGCGATAAAAAGTTTTAATGCAACCGTAACTGCAATTATACCACGCGCGCGGCTAATTATGCGCGAACTGACGAAGTATTGCGCGTGAGGATCGTTTCGTCGTTACGTATGGGAAACAAAGATCCAATATTAATCTCTTGTCGAAATATTCTACATGGGAGAGAATTTTATATAACTAACAAGAACATTCTTCATATCGCCGACAGTAGTTAACAACTTCAGCGTTTATATTGACCATATCTAGCACTTTTAATAATACCGAAAATTTATTGCGAAAAATATTACCTCAGAATTTTACTTCAAATTTATCCTGAAAATCATGTAACCGTGGGACGACACAGCATTTCGAAGAATTTTATGAGAGTTTTTCACATTTTACTTAGTAATTATATATACATTTTACTTGTAAATTGTCTCTCTCTTCTTTTTTCTCTTAAGGCAGGATACCACCTTTGACTGCGATTTTGGAGGCGTTTTTCATGAATTTTTTTTGCATACAAAGAGTGCGCAGAAACAAAATCGGTTTTAGTCATTTATTAATGTAACTTTAATCTGTAATTACAAACTGAAAAAGTTTAAAAAATAATCTCTTGTAGGTGGCGCCAAAATACATTCCTTTGGAGGAACACCGTTAGACGGCGTGTCAAATTCCGTTCTGTATACATGGCTCCTAGAAAAAAAACCAAAAAATGTTCCTATTAACAACAATATTTTTTAATGCTGTACGTAGGGATTCTACGAAATTTCGATTTTTAAGAAAATGGCAGTCATTTTAACAAAAAGGTCAATTTTTTAGGGTAAACCTTTTTGTTAAAATGACCGCCATTTTCTTAAAAATCGAAATTTCGTAAAATCTCTACGTACAGCATTAAAAAATATTGTTGTTAATAGGAACATTCTTTGGTTTTTTTTCTAGGAGCCACGTACAGAGCGGAATTTAACACGCCGTCTAACGGTGTTCCTCCAAAGGAATGTATTTTGGCGCCACCTACAAGAGATTATTGTTGACTTTTTCATTTTGTAATTACAGATTAAAGTTACATTAATGAATGACTAAAACCGATTTTGTTTCTGCGCACTCTTTGTATGCAAAAAAAATCATGAAAAAGGCCTCCAAAATCGCAGTCAAAGGTGGTATCCTGCCTTAATGAGGCTTCGAAGATTAAGAAAATTTATTTTTGAAAAATTCAGTTTTCATTATAGCCACTGCACGCAAATTTGCATAAGACATTCAATCGCAAATTAGTATCTCTTAATATCTCTTAATCTCCGCTTTATTTGTAATTCGCTTTCTGTGCTAATAATACTCCTGTCATCCATACAATTTCGAAGAAGATGAATAAATTAGGGTAATCAGACGCATAATGTATTTACGAAGCATTTAATGCCAGACGGAAATTAAATATTAAGCATTCGGCTGGCCGTTGATAATCGAAATTGTTTGCCCTCGTGTAATTTAATCAGCCTCGACCTTAGACCGAAAGTAGGATGGAACCGATATGTCCTATAGATGCCTGACCGAATTTCAGGTCAATTCCAATAACTCAAGTGGCTATGGGTGCACTATTGAATTTCGGTCGTACACTGAATTCCCAATGGAATTAACGGTTTTAGAAAGCTGCGAAACAACCGATGGAACAGGAGTCGCGCAAGGAATGACCATAAAGTCGCAGAACGATTTGCGTCAGAAAGCAATTTCCAAGCGGACACTCGCGCGGAAAGCTATCGTCCCGGCCGTCGTTATTTGTAACAGTAAAACTGAAATGTTAATGCGCGATAATAATAATTGCGTTTAACTTAATTGAGTTGGCGTTTAAAAAATCAACAGCTATTAAATTCTAGCGTTGAAGCTAGATCTCCATGTCTTTTGCATCTTTTAGACACTTCTGCGAACAATTATCGAGTACACGGGGAGAATTTTCTTTTCAAATTTACCCTGAAAATCATGTAAACGTGGGACAACCACTTTGAACAACTTTATAAGAGTTTTTTGAAATTTTGCCAAACATTTTACCAGCAAAATGTATACTAACGAGGAAACGGTCGAGAGTGCATGTCCCTCACCGATTTCGATGCGCTTCGGATATGTTGTAGAGCGTAAAAAAATATTAGACCCGTATTTTTTGTAGCGGTTTTTCTCAACGTTTAGGGGGTGAAACAGCCCCTCGAATATAACGGATTTTTTCATTTTTTTAAATAAATATCTTCGAAAATATGAAGTTTACGAAAAAATGTTTTCGAAATCGGTGAGGGACAGTTTCCGATCGTTCCCCTGTAAGTACAATTACTGCTGGCACGGTGCATTGGCTGAACAATGGCTAAATATTGGTCCAATGCTGGTTGTGCCATGTTGTTATTCTCTCAAGAAAATCCTCTCCGTGTACAGAGTCGAAGGAAATAAAAGTTTTATACGTGCGCACGTGCTACAGTGACTTGCGAACTGATCTAGCGAACAATTAAACGGATTTGTCGTGAGACAATTCGTAATTGTCACGTTTTGCCAACGCGACGGCGCGTCCAGACCCCGGACCAGAGAAGCGTAGGAGGTTGATCTCGGCGAGAAGCGACGTCGCGAATAATAAATCGCTAAACTTCGTACATCGCCAACAAGGTAGAGGAATGAATCGAGCGGGAAATAGGGAAATCGAAGGCGATTTGCCGAGTCAGAGCTCTTTAACTTCCTCTATTAAGTATAATAAAGCGACGAGCGGAAGAGCAACGCGCTCTCCAACGTGACGCGGCGGTCGAGCACGCGGCATCGGATAAACTTGAGGCCCAAATACTCTCTCTTCGAGGCGTGGGCCAGCACGCACGTGACTCTAACGTGCTCGTGTTGTTCGTCACTCTCTCGTGGAACGGCTTTTCCCTTCCGTTTCGGGGTCGCGTTTTAACGCACGAGTACTTTCGATGCGCCGTATCTCGACTTTCTGACCGACTGTTTCAAGAATCTACGCGTCGTACGAATCGTCGGTCTTTAACGTCTGGGTTTTTTCCCCGTACATAACATCAGCTTAATTAATCTCTGCTGTATAACTTCGCTAACGTGACCCGGTGGAATTTTAATAAATGCTGGAGAAATCGTCGACGAGCCTCAGAAAATTTCCTAAAATGGGACGTCGGGGCGGACCGGGTTAATTAAATACTCGCAAGTCATTGAAATCGTTTCCGTCCGTTTTGCCGGTCGCTCCTCGCCTCGCGACCGACGAAAGTGTCACGCCGTCGACTCTTGGCGCATTATAATGCATGTTTACGGTCCTCGATCTACCTCTTCGATTGCACGCATCTGTCGAATCCGGCTGCTGAATGATAGATAGCTGCGGCAAATAATGGCAAAGGACTTAGGCGAGATTGCCGCCGGAGGAGACATTCTCCCGTCCCGTTCCACTTACATCGTCCCACCGCGACGAGTAAAGACACAGTGGTGATAGGAACTGCGGGCATTTAGAGACAATCGTGATTATGTGCTCGCGAAGCTGCAACCCGCGAGCACCATCTCTTCCCTCTCCCGTTACCGCGCGCTGAAAATCTCACGCTCGTTCGTTCCGCTGGAACAGTGCGGTCCGCCTGCTGACTTTCTTGACCGAGAATGCTGCCGCGAAAATTCGTTGCGAGAAATTCCGTCGCCAAATAAATCGCCGAGATAAACCGACAGCTTGATATGGCGCGGCAGATTTGGCGACGAGGCTACTGCCACGTGAGATTCTCCCTGCGCCCCCAACACTTTAAAGCTATCTTTCCTTTCCAGAATCATGATCAGGCTCGCAGTCCTCCTCGTCCTCGCGATCGACCTGGCGAACGGCCAGCTCAACTACGAGGGAAATCCATTCACGGAGTACACCGAGTACGTCGCGGAGGAGAGCAATCTTTCCGAGAGGTCTGCTAGGAAAAATGACGCCTCGATCGACCTCTCCAGCCCCGCGGCATCGTACCGTCCTCAGAAGCTGTATCCGGTTGTGGAGCCCGGGAGCGATGGGAGTTCGCGGCGAGCGGCGGAAACCGATAATCTTCTGAGATCACGGATTTCGTCTCGGCAGTTCCAAGACTCCTCCGGAAACACGCCGGTCAGCCAGGCGGAGGTCGCGCTGAACAGCTTCCTGAACTCCAAGACACCCGAGGAATCTCGCCTGTCCCTCGAGCACTATCTCCACAGTCAGCATTCGCCGCAGGATCAATCGCGATCTTCGGACGCGATCATCCATCAGGAATCGCCGAAGTCGACCGAGCCCCTCAACCAACAACCGGTCTCTCACGTTGAGCAACAGCAACAGTTGCTGGTCCCTCAGGTGAACCAGCAGCAAGTGCAGCTGACGTCGCAAGTGGACCAGGTCCAGCTGGTGCCGCAGCTGGTGCCGCAAGTAGATCAACGGCAGCAAATATCCGCTGGCCAGGCTTACGGCTATCTGGGACAACCATCTGTGGTGCAGGCGGTACAGCCCGTCATCAGGACACCCGCGGGAGTCGTCCTGGGACAGAAGATGGTGCCGGTGCCGCTCGTGCCTGCTTTCCAAAGGACCGACATGATAACGCCGGCGATGTGGCGGGAGAGAATGAGGAGGATACGCGGAAAACCGTACCCCTTCGCGCAACCTAGGATAGCGCCGGCGTTGTACCAAGGGCCGATCGCAGGTGAGGAAACACGCCACCGAAAAGAAACGCATGACGGGCTGTTCCTATGAAAAGTAAGGATAATCTTCCGCGCGAGAGAACAACAATTTTTTACGAATTGTGACCCACGTAAAAAAGTTGTTGTCTTCGCCACGGAAGATCTTGTCGGGTATTTACATCCGTTGTCCAGGGTTTTTTTTGGAATTAATGATTCTTTATTCGCACCGGAGTCATCATTGCTATTCAAATTATTCCACGCCTCACGCCTAAAAATACTTGTCTTAAGTGCGTGAACGTTGGTCAGGCAGCGGTATGACCTTTCTTGACGCTACAAGAATGCGTTACGTCACGTTGTATATATTTTCAGTAGATTTATGCGGAAAGAAAGACCGAATAAACACTTTCCATGACAATATATCAGCCCTGTCGTTAAATAGATTCACGCGTTCGCGAATTTACGAGTCCAATCTACATAATTGCATCTAAATGTAGGATCCGATCTCATCCTCGATCATTTATCATAGTTCTGTTGGCGGAAAAAATCAACGATCCGCAGACACGGTATATTATAATGACCAGCTACAAGTGACGATAACTTTTCCTTTCAGAAGCGACGTATCACGCATATTAATTTCATGCTCAGTCAGCATCAACACATACTTGTGTCGCAAAACAGACACGTGTAGAATACTCTTAATGTACTGTGACTAAATTGTACAATTTTTCTCCCATTACTTAGCAATAAAGGAATACGAGAGCCAAGACAGGATGTTAGTGCAGTCTAAATAATTCTAATTTTTAAGTCTATTGCGAAAAATAATACCTTATAGCTAGGGTTTGAACCTTATAGCTGGGCCTCCCTCTCACTTATACGGGCGCGTCTCACCAATTCGACTGCCGGGGTACGTGGTAATATTTATCGGTTCAAACCCTGGCCGAGGTATTATTTTTCGCAATAGACTTAAAAATTAAAATTATTTAGACACTAACATCCTGTCTTGGCTCCTGTTCCTTTATTACTTCGTATTTGTGTTTTCATTTGTGTTTTAGAGCCTTGTGAATTGTATTAATTGTGAGGAAGTTTCTTCAAAAAATTCGACCAAACTGGCATAAAAGATATATTTTACTTATCCTTGACTTTGTTTCCCAATTGACACGACTGTAAGATGCGTCTTGTTTTGTAAAATAATTATAGATTGTTGAATTCCCTGAAAAGGACCACAACCCGCATGGTCGAAACGTCGGATTAAACGAATAAATAAACCATCTGCCAGCCTAAGTCGTCTAACAATTCTTTTTACCGATAAAAGATATATATTTAAATCACAACGTTTCGACCTCTTATCAGGTCCTTTTCAAGTACAATCTAATGTTGACTGAACAATTTAATTTTCATGTCGAAACAGGATGAGTACATGAGTTTGTGACAGCAAATTCATATCGTCAATTTGCCTCGGTAGTCAGTAAAATTTAGTAGCGATGTTAGATATTTTTCTAAGTTTTCGAGCAGCAACCATACGCTTGAAGATCTCGAATAGAACTGTTCAGTCAACATTA